CGCCGCCGCCGCCGCCGGGCTGCTGCTCTACCGCATCGCGCGGAGGTAGGGGCCGGGCCGGGCCGGGTGGTGGCGGGGGATAATGGCGGCCCGGGTGAGGGCCGCCCTGGCGGGAAGGCTCCGGGCCGAGCTCGCCGTCCCGCCCGGCGCCGCCGTGCGCTGTGGCAGAGGGAACGGTGGCTTCGGCGGGGTGTGGAGAGAGCAGGTAGGGCTGCCGGCGGCGGGGTCGGTTGGGTTTTTGTCCCGCTTGGGGAAGGGGGGGGGGGTATCCATGAGGCGCGTGTTGAGGAAAGGATCCCCCCCGAATTGTCAGCGGCCACAGAAACTCGCAGGTAAATGGCTGGAGGCGGTTTTCCGTATCCCCTAGAATTGCCTCGTGTCTTTGTGTGCCAGCACTGAACGTCAAGGACTTGCCTGCTGTGGGAGCTGTGCTTAGGGAATCTAAAGCGTTCGTCTTCCCCCAGTCCCTAGTTCAGAGGCTGGCGTTGTTACTGGCGGTATTGCGGAGGCTGGTGAAGGCTCGGGGTTTTCCTCTTTTGTTTTCTGGCGTGTTTGAGGCAGGGAAAGAGAACGTTTTGCTGCTGGTGTTGGTTGATTTGGAGGTGAAAGCGGGATGGCAGGGGGAACAGTGGGAGGGTGCCGTAGAAATAACAGCGCTGTTAGTGCAGTGCTAAAACTTGGGGGGAAGATGACATAGAAGTTCAAGTTACTAGTCTGGTCAGTTGCACGGAACGTTTCTGACCTTAGAACAAATTTAAACAGACCAACTGAAAACAAGGTTTGAAAAGCATCAGGAGAGAAGTCAGGATACAGGTTTCACAAAAGCGGTAAAGCTTAACTTGACGGATTTTGGTCTAGCGTAGCTTGAAATGAATGTAGGAATATATGGAATAAGAGGCACTCCAGACTTCGTAACAGAACAGACTCGGGCAGTCTGCTCACCTATTGAGTGCTTCTCTTGGAGAAAAAGGCAGTCCCAAGGACTCGTTGTGCTAAGGTTAGTTTCAAGTTTACGCTTTGAAATAGAGGCATATTTCTACATCCCTAATAAAATCTTAGGGTTTGCTCTAAAGCATTTGCTGTTTATATAACCGTATAAATGGTCAGTGGTATATTAGCCCATATACAAGACTTGACATTTCTATGGCATATTTAGGGCAGCTAAGAAATACTAGTGGCCTAAAGCAATCCCCAGTGAAGCAGGCAGCATTTCTTTGACCCAGTTGAGGCTGATGTGTCTTTTGAGGGAAGAGATTGGATTTGTTTTGTTTAAGTTCATCAAAAGGTCTCTGGAATGGAAAGCATTTCTTCCCAAGTCCTTGAAAACTGCTGGTGAGCTGTAAGTATTTTCAGGAGGTGACCTTGATAATTCTTTGGGGCTACATATTAGTGTTTTCTCAATACTGTTCTGATATTACCTAATTTTGTACTTTGCATTAGTTAAATGAATCTTCCAAAGTCATCAAGGAGGACAGCTTTATAAGGGACCGATCCAAACGCAGACACGATGCTGCCTTTGCCTTTGGTGTTAATGTTGTGATATAGCCCTGCTTTGCTCCATTTTCAGCGTGAGTGCACTTACATAGCTAGCAAGATGCCTTTACCACCTCCTATAGAAAGGGAAATAAAATATATCAGAACAACCTAGTGGAAACTAGTTCTGGAATAACTGTCAACACGTGTAGAGTTACACTACTGTAACTGTGACAGTATCTAAGGCTGTGCTTTTTGTATCGGGGAGAAAGAAGATTTGATGTCCAGATACACACAGGAACTCCTTAAACCTTATGAGTTTGGGGCAGATAGGAAAACTCTGTTATCTTTCGTGGTCATTCTTCGAGATCACAGCTTGGCTACTTGTTTGTTACATAGTGTTGGAAGTCGGGTTGCTGAGTTCAGAACAGCAGCTGTAGCCACCTTTCCTTCATCTTCTGTGCCCCTCCTGATTGTTAGCTGCTGGCTTGTTGTCAGTACCAATATAGAGTACCCCATGGGACTCTTTGGGTCAGTGATGCCGGAGGCTGCTCCTTCTACAAGTAAAGTCAAGGTAAGCCATCACTCACTCTAAAAGAGGCCAGTAGGAACTTGGGAACTGCCGTGCAGCTAGTTCGTTTAGTTGAGAAGCCTGTCACAGATACCGAGAGGGCAAAAAGAGGCATCTTTTCTGGAGAATCCTGTCCTGATGACCAGTATTCTGCAGAATATTAGAAGTTGCTAAAGCTGCAGTTTCAAAGAAGACAGCCTTTGAGGGGGACAGCACAGGAGGTGGTTACGATTGTGGGTCTGTCTCCCTGCCTAGGTCTACTGGGCACCTTTTTCCCTGTTAAGAGGACACTAAGTCTGGCACTTGGGTAAGGATAGGCTGCATTATAACTTATGACACTGTACTAGAAATCCGGTCTTGTAGCTAAATCTTCAACCCTGTCTACAGCTGCTAGTTCTGAGTAAATGCATCTATGATATAGTTTTCCTGCTGGAAAATAGACAGCTGTGATGTGTTTTTCTGACATTGGAAAATGGGGTTTAGCATTGGGTCTGCACTGGCAGACGCCTTTATTGACAAGTGATGGGCATGGGCACAACTTGGAATTATGGCAGCTCAGTGAGCTTCCCCCCGCCCCCCCCCCCCAGGAGCTTCCCTAATTGTGAGCTGAACACAAATACCAGGTTTGATGAGCTCCTCTTAACTCAGTCACGCTGACTATACTGTGCCATGGGCTTGGTCTATACCTTGGAGCTTTGGCAGCTTGGTTATGTCAAGCTGCCATCAGATGTTGTTCTGATCAAAACTGATCTGTGCAAAAACACTCCTCTTCCTAGTGTGTTTTTTATTCAGATTTGCTGGCATAGCCATTTGTATAATAGCTTTGTAATCCAGTTGTGCCAGAACAAAGAGTGTTGCTTTAAATACTTTTAATGGAGAATGGTTTTTTCTTTTAATCCTTGATAGAGGATGAGGGTAACCCAGCAAAAATTGCACATCTACCTGTGGCCTCTTAAGAATATGGAAACCCAAAGATCTTCATCTCCTGACTTAGCAGTAAAGGAGGGGGGGAATAGATGTAAATAAAAATATTTAGAAATCCAATTTATTGTTATCAGGTAACTGATTTGACCTGCACTTATCAGGAAGACTGTTGTTCTGGCAGTCCATTAAAAGTGTGGACTCAGCATGACCTTAAATGTATGTATAAATGGGGAATAGTGGAGAGTGTTGGGAGTTGGAAGGAATGTAAGTTCCTTCTCTTGTTACATGAGAGACAAACTGTTTGCTAAACAATGTTTGTCAGTGGGTATACATGCAGTCTGATTTTTTTTGTTAGCAAAGTAAAGGAGTCTGATAGCCTCTCGCAAAGGAACGTTTTGTCGTGTTGTTTGAGCAGTATCAGACATTTAGGTGTTGATCTCATAACTGAGTTTACTCCCGGTGTGTCCCCCCAGTGTTGTCTTAAGCAAAGAGCTGTCTGCAGAACAATTTGTCCAAACCTGGGAATTTTTTCTAGCCTGTTTGGGTGCACAGGCTACATCTTGAGTTAGCACAGCAAGTCAGCTGTTAATGGAATCTCTCTGTGCAGTAAGTAATTCAATCACTTCTTGTTGCTCAGGTTTTATTTTGCAAGGTGGTTCTTTGTCCAGTGACGCTACTTCAAGTTAGTACAGTGTTAGATGATAAACTCCTTAGGGATGATTTGCCTAGTGTTTTGCAAGGGATTGAGCACATGGTAAATGCTTAGTTTTGCTCTGTCTGTCTCATAGCAGAATGTCTGACTTTAGAAGCAATGTGTGCTCTAGCTTATTACGTTCAGCTGCTGCCTGAATTCAGTCAAGGTATATATAGTTCCGAAGTAATTAAATCTGTATTTGAGAGTCTTTTCAAATGCAATACTTGTTTTTTGTTTTTTAAAGTCCTGCCCAGTTACTAGAA